TCTTATAACTTAGTTTTACCTGTTTCTCTTCATTCACATTTTGCCTCAGGGATTTTTACCTTTCTTTCATTCTGGATGTCCTGCTTTTCTGCTTCCTCTGCACCTGGCTTCCCCCCCTTTTCTTTCTCTCCAGCCTAGATTCCTCCTCCTCCTCATTCTCTCTGCCCACCAGCCCTGCCTATCCCTCTACTACCTAAATTGGCTGTTCAGCTTTTTATTAGACCAATCAGGCACCTTAGGCAGGCAAGGTGAACCAAATGCAGCATAAACAAATGCAGCACATCTTTACACAGTCAAGGTAATATTTCACAACTCATTTCTCCTTCCTGGAAGCCCCTCCCCTCGGTATTGATGTTTGCAACAGCATTCAGAGAACATGGGGCCTGCCTGCTTCTCTAATTCAAAAAGTGAAACTTTCATTTTTTCCTTCTTTATGTCTTTTTATTCCAAATACTGGATGAAACCTGGGCATGCTTTTCCAAACACCTTGTGGTTTCTCAGGTTTTTTCAAGACCCACCCTCACCCTTCCACCACCACAACTGTCCACGAAACTGCCAAACGTCTGCCAGCTTTCTCGTACCCTAACTTTGGAAGGTGTGGCTTTCCCTCTTCCTCTTCTACAGGTAACTTCCAAGTTTCACAGCGTGGTTGCCCTAATTTTGTCTCAAATTTTAATAAAATTGTCCTCAGGCTTCCTTCTGAGTCCATTTTTAAATTATTTTCTTAACAAGACGAAGGGACACAAAAGGGACCCTTGGTTTTCCTGGTGATGTGGTGCAGTCCTTCACACTTTCTCATGTCCTAAGTATGTTACTCCAGAAACAGAGGCATTTCTGCTTTCCCATGGCAGAATCCATTGGCTAGTCTGGCGATGGTGGCGCACACCTTTAATCCCAGTGCTTGGGAGGCAGAGGCAGGTGGATCTGTGAGTGAATTTGAGGCCAGCCTGGTTTACAGAGTGAGTTCCAGGACAGCCAGGTCTACACAGAGAAACCCTTTCTGGAAAAATAAAAGTGTCCATTAATAACAAATTGACAAGGTTTAGTACATACCATGGCAGCAGCTTGCCAGATAACTCTGCCAACCTTGCAAATCTGGCTAATTAGGGCTCTTTTAGTTCAGTCTTAATTACTAATACTAACATTGCATAACACATAATACGTTTGCATATCTGTTACATATAAGCTGACACATACTTTGAGGTATGAGGTTTATCAGAATGAGAGGACCTCAAAGCCATGACTGGCCCTAGAGACGGGAGGGAGAACACTGGACAGAAACAACACAGTAGAAACCTAAGATGGCTGGTTTCATCTGTCGGCCTGGCTACACCTGGAATTAACTAAAAACCCAAGACACAGGGCACACCTGGGAGGGATTTTTAGCCAGCTGGATTATTTGAATTTGGAAGACCCACTTTATATACCAATCACTTGAGGTGGGAAGACCCACCCTAAATCTGGGTCACCCCTTCTCATGGCAGCCCATGAGAGGGAGGCAGAGGCAGGTATCACTCTAAGTTTGAGGCCAGTCTGGTCTACAGAGCGAGTTCCAGGACAGAATGAGGAAGCTTTTGCTCCTTGCTCCATGCTCTTTCTGGAGTCCATTCCTTCACTGGCATGAGAGCCGACTTAGGGATTCCAGTGTATACTGAAGACCGGCTGGAACATCCTGAATATCTGCTGGATTCTTGGACTTTCCATAGGTAGACATCCATTGTTGGAACAGCCAGACCACAGCCTGTAAACCATCCTAATAAAAGAGGGAGTGAAGCTAGACCATAGG